ATACATAAGACGCAGACAGACAGAATTGGCTGCAGTTCTGGAAGAAAACAGGACACAGAGACAAGAGACGGTTTCAGACCTCAGCACTGGAAAAGTGCCTGTCAGTTTATTATATACAGTTTAATTGGGCAAGCGTCCCACAGTTATTTTCTCATGCCAGCTACTTTCCCAGCTACTTTTTGGTACGTGACTTCTCATGGCCAACAACACCTGCTTTTCCAGTCAATGCAAAAAGCATGGCCTTCTACAAGAGATCTCTTTGATGTTTTGCACCACTTTTGGATAACAATCTCGGCTTGAGTGCAAGACCTTGAATCCTAGACCATCTTGCAAGTACCTAGTACCGCGTGCTGGTTACAAAGCAATCTTGGCTTGCATGCAAGTCCATAGGTTCTTGGCCCTTTGCCTGGAGAAACAGTTTCTTCAGCTGATCAACAAGCCATGTCCTGCTAATTGTGGGAACAAGCAATGGGCTCCCGTTCTGCCGACTTGGGGTCTCAGCCATTCTGACCCTGGGATGGCTCGCTTCAGCTTCCTTCAACATGGAAGATGTGTGTGGAGTAAAATAAGGGTGATAAAGGAAGAGGAAAAAATTACAGGAATCAATTTTTTTATTCCTATAACTAAGAGGAATCAAACCTTAAGTTTTAAGGAGGACAGTTTTTGAGATGAATCTGAAAGGATGAATTAAAGTTTTGCAACTGAGTCAAATATGACATGGAGTTTAAAATGATGATATATTGAACTAATATTGATAATATATTAAATAAGACATGCGGTTTGATGCTAAGATGTACATTATGACCCCTATCTTCAATTGTTATTATAGTAAAAATGTGCATATAAAGGTCTAGATGGATATATTATGTGGTTATTTCTTGGTGGTGAGGTTATGGGAATTGTTTATTTATTAATATATATTTTTTGAGATAAGGTCTTGCTCTGATGTCAGGGCTAGGGTACAGTGGTGTCATCATAGCTCACTGCAAGCTCTAGCTTCTGGGTTCAAGTAATTGTCCTTCCTCCCCCAAGTACCTGGGACTACAAGAGTGCACCATTACATCCAGCTAATTTTTCTATTTTTTGTATAGACAGAGTCTCGCTATGTTGCTCAGGCTGGTCTTCAACTCCTGGCTTCAGGTGATCCTCTTGCTTCCTTCTCCCAAAGTGCTAGGATTACAGGTGTGTGTCTCTGCATCCAGCCAACGTTTTATTTTTACTTTTTTAAATGTTTTTATGTTGTTTTTTTTTTGAGACAGAGTGTTGCTCTGTTGCTGGGGCTACAGTGCCATGATGTCAGCCTAGCTCATAGCCACCTCAAAGTCCAGCTCAAGTGATCCTCCTCCCTCAGCCTGCCTAGTAGCTAGGACTATAGGTGCATATCACATTGCCCAGCTAATTTTTTCAACTTTTGGTTGCCTGGCTAATTTCTTTCTCTATTTTTAGCAGAGACAGGGGTGAGGATGGAGGTGGGGGGCTCGACTTTGGTCAGGCTGGTCTCAAACTCCTGACCTCAAGCGATGCTCCTGCCCTGGCCTCCAGAGTGCTAGGAATATAGGCGTGAGCCACAGGCCCCAGCCCAGGTTATCTTTAAAAATTAGTTTTTTAGTTTCTTTTTACTTTTTTTTTTTTTTTTTTGAGACAGAGTCTCGCTTTGTTGTCCAGGCTAGAGTGAGTGCTGTGGTGTCAGCCTAACTCACAGCAACCTCAAACTCCTGAGCTCAAGCAATCATTCTGCCTCAGCCTCCCAAGTAGCTGGGACTACCGGCATGCGCCACCATGCCCGGCTAATTTTTTCTATATATATAAGTTGGCCAATTAATTTCTTTCTATTTATAGTAGAGATGGGGTCTCGCTCTTGCTCAGGCTGGTTTCAAACTCCTGACCTCGAGCAATCCACCCGCCTTGCGGCCTCCCAGAGAGCTAGGATTACAGGCATGAGCCACCGCGCCCGGCTCTTTTTACTTTTTGATATTTAATATTTTACACATATATTTTATGAGTTTTATAAGTGGACAAAACTACTTCTTTTAAGAAATAGCTAAAAATCAAAGTTGCTGATTTAAGCGTAACTTGGTACAACTGTTACTGTCCTCTGAGTGGAGGTTCTTTCAGGTTCTTGGTGATTATCGGAAGAAAAGAATTTCAGGACATATCACTTATGCCAAAGTAAGTGGGTTTTATTGAGGGTAAAAGTGAAAGTACAGTCTCTCAAGAGAGAGGGAGCAGGCAGGCTGGAAAAGTGCAGCTGTACTGGGAAGAAGAGGTTTTTGGTCTTATGAAGTCTTGCTAATTGAGGGGAGGAATATTCAAGGATAAAGGGGTTGGCTTTTACTAAGAATTTGGGTATTAATTCCTAGAATTGGGTTCCTACCCATTTTCATGCTTTATATAGTTGTTTTGAACTGTCATAGCAATTTCAAGGGTGAACAATTTTCAAACCACAATGCAAGGGCATTGTAATTAGCCAAAGTTCTTGTAAGGTAACCCAGATAGCTGACAAGTCAGTTGAAGCCAGTCCTTGTCTGTGGTTATCAATCCCCTGCCCCTTAGTAGACTTTACCACCTGTACCCACACTGATGTCCTTGCATCCAGCTCCTAGCCTAGTAGCCTATTTTCCTTCTGCCTGAGGATTGTTTATTTCAATACCTGCACCCATTCTGCAAGCCCCTGCATCTGGTCTCAACCCTGAGTCCTACTTTAACACAACCTTTAAAAAATCATTTGCATTAACAACCATAAAATGTATAACATGTCATGAGTTGTTTAAAAAAGTGTTGATACTCTTTCAAGTAGTAATTCCATTTCTGGGTATCTATCTTAAAAATGTACATTCATGAAGGTGTTCTACAATTTCTTTAGGATGGCAAAAAAAGAAGTAAGTTATGTTCAATAGGGAATTAATGCAGTATATTTCATATGTCCACTTAATGTAATTTTAGGCATCTGATAAATTGGTTATGAAGCTTACATAGAAATACGAGAAATGATTATAAAAGTGAAATGACAAGTTCCAAAATTATGTGCATGGTATGAACAACATTGTAAAATAAATATGAGTGGGGAAAAAGTTCTAGAAGAAAATACACCAAATGCTAACAGTGGCTGTATTAGGAAGAAGGATTTTTCTTTATGGTCCATAAGTTTTTTGATGTGGTTAAAATTACTTTTTTTTTTTTTTTTTGTCCAGGCTAGAGTGAGTGCCGTGGTGTCAGCCTAGCTCACAGCAACCTCAAACTCCTGGGCTCGAGTGATCCTTCTGCCTCAGCCTCCCGAGTAGCTGGGACTACAGGCATGCGCCACCATGCCCGGCTAATTTTTTTTATATATATATCAGTTGGCCAATTAATTTCTTTCTATTTATAGTAGAGACGGGGTCTGACTCTTGCTCAGGCTGGTTTTGAACTCCTGACCTTGAGCAATCTGCCCGCCTCGGCCTCCCAGAGAGCCAGGATTACAGGCGTGAGCCACCACGCCCGGCCTTAAAATTACTTTTATAATGAAAAGAATGAGAATTTCAAAGGATTGGAGATAAAAAGTTTCCTCACTGGCCCTCTGATTTGAATATAAAGTATTAAAAACCTATTTTATATTCATCATTAACAAACCTGCAAGCTTCTACAGACTTTAACAGTTCGAGATTGTCAACCTCAACGTTTATCTACTTTCTGGTAGGCATTCCTGACAAGATTGCATGGGAAGGCATGAGAGGTCAGAAGGGATTTCCAGCCTCTTCAGGTTTCAGGACTGGACAACGATCTGAACGCTCAGTTGAGCCGCCATCAGCCCTGCCACGAGAGTAGGAGAACCAAGACTGGGACCCCCGACGTCCCGCTAGCCTGGTCGAACAGCATCTAATAGCCAATTTCACAGCTTCGGTCAAGCCCTGAAGAACTTAATGACACTTGTCGGGTCTGTTATGGCACCTGGCGTTTATCTGACTGTGGGTTTTGGAGTCATTCTTGGCAGTCAGCCGTCAAGCTCTATCTCTCCCTGTCTCATACCGGCGACCTGAGGACGCTCCTCCCGATCTCCCTTTTTTCCATTTTTCGCGCGCCAGGCGTCCCGCATGGGGGCGCTGCCTACCTCCCTGGTTGCCGGCCCTGCCCGTGCCAATCCCGTCGATGCGGCCGGCGCGTGACCTGGTCATACGTCGTTTTAAGCCCCAAACAAATGCGGTTTTCGGGGGCGGCGTTGGGCTTCCGCCTGCCGCAAGTCCCTGGGCTGCTTCGGTCCGCACTCAGCCGGGGGGAGCGAGCCAGGCCTCACTCTCCGCCGCCACCGGCCCCGCCCTCGGGTGCTGGTGCAGCCCCGGGCCAGGCCCCAGCCGGGGCAGGAGCGCAGGTGGGTCGGGGCCGGAGTGGGGCGTGGCGGGAGGGCGGCGGCGCTGGGGTCCCGCGGCCGGCCACCGTGGCCGCTCCCCGCCCCCTCCCGCCGGCGCCTGCGCTCCCGGGCGCCGCGAGGGTGGGGCGGGCGCGGGCGCTGCCGGCAGGTCGTGGGCTCGCGCCGCCCGGCGCGTGCGAGCGGGGACCCGGCGGCCCGCGCCTCCTGCTGCCCTCCGCCCACGCACGCGTCGGGCGCTGCGCGTCTCCCGGGCCACGGGGGTCCCGCGGGCCGGCGGGCGGGAGCGGGGTCCCGGGTCGGGGCTGAAGCGGAGGAGATTCGGTTAGGCCGAGAGCAGGCACCGGACCGCCGCTCCTACCCGCGGCACCGCGCGGGCGAGGAAGTCGGGCCCGGGTGGGGGTCGCCTCGCCCGTGTCGCGCCCGGCCTCTCTGTTCGTGCCTGCCCCGGCGCAGGTGAGCTGGCGCTTGTCCTTAACCTTCCTCGGGGACGGGGCAGGACGGAGGCTCGGATGCTTCGCCTGGCCTGGGCTGGTTGTGTGGCTCTACTCGGAACGCTTTTACAGTTTTTAAGAAGCAAATGGTGCATTTACTACTGTATGCTGTTTTCCTCTGAAGGTATAAGAGGTTCCTTCATGTACTATTCTGTTTTTATTCTTCTGATTTTTATAAACAAAGGATGGCTTTTAAGCTAGTAAATGACCCGTTTTTGGAATTGGTATTCCTGCCCTTAACTGAAGCAGGAAGAAACGGGAAATGCCTTATCTTCTAACCTGTTTTGATAGGCAAGGCTGAAGACTAAGAAGGAAGAAAACAGGCATCTACCTTTGATGTCATGGCTTCCTATTAGCACTAAGAGAAAACTGGTCCTTTCCCCTGTTCTAGCCACATGTTGCCGTTTGATTGCTCACCAGTCCCGTCTGCCTCTCTACAGGTAAGAGTTAGTGTGACTCTTTAGGCTTTGGGATTTATCCATGCACGTTTTTTTTTTTCTCCTAATACAGTTCAGTTATCTTCCATGGCTTCATTTTGAGATTGTACGCTCTCTTTTAGGTGAGAGTTTTCCCAGCTTTCAGCCGAAATTGGACACAGGTGTCCAAAAGGAATACTGAAATTATTGAAAGTGGGATTTTGGCCTTCACTGGAATAAAGTTTGTCAAGTTATATTGACTTGTTACATCTCCCCATATTCCTGGAAAGGATTTAGGTGGCAGTATGTATGGAGACTCCTTCACAGCCAGGCCTAGTGAGAGAGTTGCTGTAGTGAGTGCTCACTATCTCACCCTTCAGTCACCCTCCCCCAGGCACTATGCCTTTGGGTCCATTGCAGTACATCACAGCAGTGTCACTAAGGGTCACTAGCACCTGTGGGACATGATTCTTTATTTTACCTGGCTGCAGAGTCCAAAGTGACTGCTCCTTTCTTTTATGCATATTTTTTTTGGATTTTAAAAGTACTACATGTTCATTGTGGGAAATCTTGAAAAAAGACTTGTAATCTCTATCCCGAAAACTTTTTTCCTATTGAATTGTTTCTGTGACAACTGGTGTCTTCCTTTCCTCCTGTTTCTCTCTATCAGATCTGAATCAGTTGACCTGTGGCTATTTCTGTCTTGCAGGCACTCAAGCCCAGCATCTCTTAAACTGAACAGCTCTGCCTCTCCTACTCTAAATATGCTCAGCCGCTACCTTTGTGATACCTCACTGGGAGGTACCACTCTTCACGCGGTGCTAAAGCCATAAGATAAGGACCCATCCTTGACTCCTCTCATCCCCCATATTTTTAGTCAGTGGTTAGAATCTTGTTTGTTTTTCTTATTACTCCATTTACTTAGCATCGCTCCACTCCTAGTGCCTTAGTTCAGACTCTATTTATTTATTTATTTATTTTTTGGTATATTTGTTGTTTTACTTGATTCACAATACTTGATATACTTTGAAGAGAATCATATACTATAGTCTTAGACAGAACCACAGAACAAGCAGAACAATTAAAACTACATAAGGCCTTAAAATATATCCACAGTGTGTATTATTTCAATATTCATTCATTTACAAATTAGACTACATACTGTTAATTTTATTTTTATTTTTCTTTCATTGTTTTATTCAGGCAGGGTTCATTCAAGGAAAGGCAACTTAGTTTGTGTGTGTTGTGTGAGCTTTGTTTTTTACTATATTGGTTAATATAAAAGTTATAATTAAATGTTTTCTTATCTCCTATATCCAGGAGTGAATCCATGTAATTCTCAGATAGTAATCCGCAAACACATAATCCTCTATACTCCGCTTTTCATTTTCTTCTCTTTTCTTTGAGACAGAGTCTCACATCTGTGCCCGGCGCACTAGCAGTGCGTGGCTATCAGCCTAGCTCACAGCAACTGGCAACCTCGAACTCTGGGCTCACGCGCCCATCTTCCTGCTTCGTCAGTTAGTCTACCTATTCCTTAAAAATAGACAAACGTGACAAGGGACCAAATACACAGCCACGTCCTAGTTCGTAGATCTTTAAAGAGAACCTAATGGACTATCCGAGGTTTTAATATACATGGAAGACTACTGGCAATTCCATGAGGTTACGTGCAGAATTTACAAGAGAAACATTGGCGTATAAAGATCATATCCTCTCGAAGCTCTAAATACCTTTTAAATCACAAATGAAAATTTAAGTAGTTGCCTCACAGTACCAACTTATAAATCAAAACTAGTTAAAAGTCATGTGCTAACAGACTTCTCATTTACAATGTAACTATTGGTAAATTAGAGATGGGCATAAAAATTAAGACTTAACATCAGTTTTGGGAGGGCATAAATGTATAATAACCAGTGGAATACAGAAATCCAATGTATAGTTAACATAAAATAACCATTTTAACCTTTATCCCTTGTACAACAGGGTTTAGTTAACTCTAGTGAACTTGCATGTGTTTACTTTTTTTTTTTAAGTTTATTCTGAGTACTTGATTGCTTTAGATATACAGCTTTTTTTCAAAAGAATATTACATTTGTATACCAGGATAAGATTTATTCATTGAGATATTTTAAAAAATTTATACAAATTTGTTTCTAATATGCACCAAGCATTTGGCAATACTTTTACAGCACTTGATTTATAGAATTAAAATTCATACAGTACTCCATTTTGATGTTTAAAAAACTTCACAGAAAAAATATAATTACACAGCCTGACTGCATGATACTGTTATTCAGTTCTATTCTGGTAATTAAAACCTTCATTAAGTCCTGTTAACAAATCATTACCTGTACATTTTATGAAGGCAACTGACTGATTTGCAAACAAAACCTTCAGGTTTTATGTTATTTACCAAAGAGTGCAGTTCACAAGAAAAGAAAACCAGTCAATGAAATTACAAAATATTTTTACAAATTACCAGTTCCTGTGACACAAACTGTTCAACCTTTCAAGGTACTGTCCATAAGTTCCACATCATTGTGACCTTGCTCCTTCAACCCATAGAGGCCACAGGTCTTTGGGCAACGCTCGAACAATGCCAAGGCCATGTGAAAAGTCACTGACTTCATCTTCAGTCCCATGAATTATTAACACTGGGGAGGTTATCTTAGAGATTTTGTCAATGTTTGGGAATGCATCAAAACAGTAGGTCTTCTTGTATCAGAAAGGCGACTCGCATTCCCGAGCCAAGAGAATGAAGAATAACAGCAGCACTCTCATCACCGAGCAGCAGGCTCCCCAGAGGTACTGTCCTCATACTTTGGCCATATAATAACTTCACAATTTTCAGGGCGAATGCCATACCTTTGTCCTTAGAGCAAGCCAAGCAGCTTCAATGTCTGCATAGAGATTCTTCTCTGTTGGTTTCCCAGCAACTTCCATATCCAGCAAATTAATCACTATGAGATATAATTACAATTAATCCGGATCCTAGTCCTATGTAAAAGCTGTTCATCGCTGTCCAAGATCACAGCATTTCATGTGAGAAGAGTAAAGTGTATTTGGCATGGGTGAGCAACGCACAAACATACGGCAATTCTATTGCCTTTACTGTTCTAGCCATGAAACACTCAATAGCATCTTTTTCTCTAGAAGAGTACTGCCAGTCTGCTCGTTCTGACAGATGTAAAGTCCAGCGGCTTCCACTTTCATCACACATCAGTGTGTATTTTGGATCAGGTGGCAAAAATGCTAATTTTGAAGCAATTTTCCCTGGGCAAGGTGGACAGCAGAAGAGGCAACATAGCTCACTAACCGAAAGATTATTCATCTTCTGCACCTGAGTGGCCCAGCCCGAGGCGCCCAGCAGAAAGGGTCTGGAGAAAGCCTCCGCCGGCGCGCTGTCCTACGCGAGGCGCGACCCGCGCTCCAGCCGCCGGATTCTCCTCGCCTGCGGACCGGCCCAGCCTGGGAAGGGGGACGAGCGCTGCGGTCCCCAGCGCCCGGGCGAAGAAGGACGGCGGCGCCCCGGGGGCCCGGCTCGCACCCTCGAGTCTGCCTCGCGCCGGCCCTGCTCCACACGAGCTCGCGTTCTGCTGACTAACGGCCCCGGCACAAGGCGCTGGAGCGGCTGCCGCCGCCGTCAGGTGCTCTCGGGCCTCACGTCCCGCGCGCCTGTGGTCGCAGCAGACGCCACCGCCACCTCCCTTTCTGGCACTGCAGACACCACCCAGCCCCAGCCGAGTCTTTCTTCTCTTTAACCCTCCTCCTTTCTTTGCTCCTCTCCACGGCCCGCCGGACGCGGGATTCACTCCCGTAGCGGGAGGGAGACCGGAGGGAAACCGAGGGGGCGAGCCGACTTCCCACTATGCCAGGAGTTGGTCACTGACTCCAGACTCTCTTTATTTACCCGAGTTTCCCCAAAGCATCATCTACTTTTGAACCTCTGAGGACTTCAATGCTTAACTTACAAAATCAAGGCGTCTGTGACCGGTTCCTACACCCCAAGTCTGAGTGTGGTGCTGGTGGCCCTCTCTCCCCACTTCATCCACACTTCTTCCCTCTGTCTTCTCCCATGCTCCCATGGACTCTCACAGCACCCTGTACTATGCTTAGGACAGGCATTTCATTCTGCTATAATTGCCTGTTTACTTTTCTGTCTCCTTAAGGGCAGGAACTATGTTTTATTCATAGTTGCATCAGTAGTATCCAGCCCAGAGTGGTTAGTAAACTTAGGATAACAAATGGGTAGAAGGAAATTCACATTTTTAGGATAGAGGTTGGTAGGAAAAAAATGTGAGGCTGTTATGTTAGTTTTGCAGTTCTGGCTGCCTTAAAAAATCTTAGTGGTATGATTGGACTTCCTACCTGGTCTTGTGATCATGGTTCTGTGAATAAGTCTTCCAATGTGAAGTATGCTAGGGTAAAGCTGATAGGTTGGCTGGAGTGGGCTCCAGCACCTTGCGTTGCACTGACAGAAGGTAGGCTTTCCTGGAGCTAACAACAGTGTAGCAGAGATGACTAGGACAGTTGTGCTAGGGATGCACAGGAGGGCATAAGTTAGTGTCTTGGTGATTGGATGTGTGCGTCAGGGAGGAGGAATCTAAGTGACTCAGTTTCTGGCTTGATGGACTAGGTGCTTGAGGCTATCAACTAGTATTGTTGATTTTGAGATTCCTTTAGACATCCATGTGAGTATGTCCACTAGGCAATGGATATGAAGTTTGGGAGAGCATGCCTGTGGAACGGTGGGAGAGTTAAAACTACAAGAGATCACTTAGACATATAGTTTAAGTGGAGCAGTGGTCTAGAAAAAGATCCTGGAAGAACACTGATCTTTACGGGCTGGGGAAGAAGAGAAGAGAGCTGGGAAAGCTGTGTCAAAGAAACTGAGGAATTGGGAATGAAGAAGGAATTAGTAGTGAAAAGGCCATTACTTTATTGTGCTTTAAGGAAAGAATAATAAGTTACAAAATGGGTCTGTTTTTTCCCCTTAGAATAAGGACTTCAGTATGGACTGTCTGCCTGGTTTTTGATCGAGCATTATTGCCTTACCCCTGTTCCTAGCCTATTAATAGTACCCCAGCCCAAATCCAGAGCCCCACTGACACTCTTACATTGATTGGATCTAACACATGACCTCTAAAGTCCCTTCAAACTCCAATCTAAAGTTAACAACAGATTCTGGGCCCAATCTCAGAATTCTGATTCAGTGGACCCAGGGATCTTAACATGGGCCCTTCTGAGAGTCTAAGATGTGTAGGTGCTAATAAACCTCCATTTTATTTCATTGCAAGAGAGCAGGACTTTATTATAGCAAACTTTAAAACTATAATTGTGACTTTCAAGAGGGTATATCTTCAAGCTGAGGGGCCACCTTCCACCACCCCCATCATGGTGGCTCCTCCAGGCATCGGACGCCCAGCCCAGCCATCCCTCTTGGTATTTAGTTGTGTCTGGAGTAGACCTTGGGTGGTCCTGGATGACAGCCTCTGAATCATACCCCCTAAGTATGTGCAACAGTGTCACATTGCCACATGGTATTCCACTGATTTTGTTCAAAGGGCTGCCAGGCAAACATGTCGGCGGTGTGATGCCAGCAATTCAGAGAATAAGTTGCGATGTTGTCGCACTTGGGCAGGCCCGATGAAACAGGTATAACTTCTGTGACCAGAGCTCTGATCGTTGCATAAGTTTATTTTGCGTTTTTTTGTTCTCAAGAAAATGTCTAGGAAAAATGAGCGATAAAGAATTATTGGAGGCTGGGCACGGTGGCTCACGCCTGTAATCCTAGCTCTCTGGGAGGCCGAGGCGGGCAGATTGCTCAAGGTCAGGAGTTCAAAACCAGCCTGAGCAAGAGCGAGACCCCGTCTCTACTATAAACAGAAATAAATTAATTGGCCAACTAATATATATAGAAGAAATTAGCCGGGCATGGTGGTGCGTGCCTGTAGTCCCAGCTACTCGGGAGGCTGAGGCAGCAGGATTGCTTGAGCCCAGGAGTTTGAGGTTGCTGTGAGCTAGGCTGACGCCACGACACTCACTCTAGCCTGGGCACAAGTGAGACTCTGTTCTCAAAAAAAAAAAAAAGAATTATTGGAAGAAATGCTGAACAAAGTTTTGACCCAAGTGATGAAGATGTTGGTCTATTTAGTGATGATTCAGAGGAGTGCCATCCTAGTGGAGATTGTGGGGACAGTTCTGATAGCAGTTGCAGCCCACCGAGAAAAGCTAGAAGAATATTACGTGCAGATCTTTCCAGTGGGAAAGGTGGTTCAAAATTGATTACTGAAACAGTTGAAGCAGTTGTAGCCAATTTCAGGGAGAGTGATTCGTCAGACATTTCTGAAGAACCTATAGTGACTAGTATAAGTTCTCTGACCTGGGGTCCAGTGTCAGGAAGTAGCATGAAGATTTTTTACTTCATTGTAAGTAACCCTGGTGTTCCCACTGAAATTGCAGTAAATCTCCGTGAAAAAACACCTTATGATTTTTTCACATTCTTCATAACAGATGATGTGATTGACTACATGGTGAAGGAAACTAATATCTTTGCCAGTCAGACTTTACAAAAGTGTAATATCAAACCCCACTGCCGACTAAAAAGGTGGTATGATGTTACTTCTCAAGAAATGGAGTGATTTTGGTGAGTATTATTTTGGATGGGCCTTAACAAGAAGCCAAGACTTTCGGACTGTTGGTCAAAAAACATTTTGTATGACAATTCAGTGGAAAAGTTTATATCACATAACCGCTTCGAAACGCTTCTGAGAATGTAGCATTTCTCTAACAATGAAGAATGTCCTCCTGGTGACCATCTCTTCAAGATCCAGCCACTTCTTGATCGTCTTCTTGAAAGGTTTCAAGCTGCTGTAGTTCCAGGTAAGGAAATACGTATTGATGAAACAATAGTGCCATTTCGTGGATGTTTGAGTTTCATGCAGTACATAAACAAGTGCCATAAATTTGGAGTAAAACTTTTGAAACTCTGCCTAAAAGATGGTACACCTGGAATGTGAAAGTTTACTGTGGCAAGGAAGCAAAATCTAGCATTCCTGTTTCATCCTCAGTTGTCATGAAGCTATTAGAAGGTTTACTAGATAGTGGGCGTGTTTTGTACACAGACAGTGATTACACCAGTGTCTGCCTAGCTCATCGACTCCTTGAGCACTCTACATATCTGGTGGGCACACTGAGAAGTAACAGGAAGCTAACCCCGACAGATGTAGTGCAGGCAAAACTGAACAAGAACGAAGTAATAGCTCGAGAAAGTGATACTGGAGTCGTCATCCTCAAATGGAAGGACAAGAGAGATGTCTTCATGCTAAGTACTATGCATGGCAAAGACAATAAAGCAGCTGAAACGAGAAAAGGTGTAGAAAAACCTCATATGATTGTGGATTATAATAATTCGAAGTCGTTCATTGACCTCTCAGATAAACTGAGGGTGTATTCATGTTCTTTGAGACATGGCATAACGTGGTTCAGAAAATTAGCCATAGAGCTAATCACAGGATCAGCTTTGGTGAACTCGCTTGTGCCCTACAGAGCTGTGAACAAAAAGAAGATCTTGATCACAAAGTTAAAAGAATAAGTTTGCCTCAGACTGTTCCAGACAGATGAAACACCTGCAGTGCTGTCCCTCCTGATGCCATCTGTGACTTGTTCCCTCGGGAATATGGGTGCTGCCAGATGAAGATGCACTGTGTGCTATGAGAGAACACAAGCTGAGAAAGGGTGGGAATATGCCATGAAGAGGTGTAAACAGACAGCATGGAGATGCAGCAAGTGCAGTGCGTACTTTTGTGTAGAATGCTTTTTCCTAAAACACACATCAATAAAAAAGTAGTATTAAAACTTGAAAAAAAAAAAACTAATTGTGATGAAGAGGTTGGCAACCATGGAAACCTAGCTGGAGCTTTACCTATGCCTGTCTTTGTGTGGAGGGATTTTTGGGGATGGGGAAAGTGCCACCACCTGGTGTGATCTGTTGGAGATTTAAAGCTTTAATTGCATGGATTTTTGCAGCACGTGTTAGCTTTCTGGGTTTAAATTCCATGACACAGTCTGACTCACAGCATCGATGACTTGTTATTTCCATGAATGCCTGTCATCTGCCCTGCTGGACTGTGGGCCTTTTGACCATACAGATCTGTTTATCTTTATACCTAAACAGGAGCTGACAAACCACCCAGCCCAGAGAAGGCATAACTGTGTGTAAATGTAGGAATAAATAATGGAGCAGCAGCTATGTCTGGCGGTCCTTGCCTTTCCTATCTCAGCAGGAGTCAGTCAGCACCGCTTTCCTTCAAAAACCCAGAGTGGGGCTGTTAGTGGGAACAGAGGGGAGGTGGGCAATACTAACACACCGAGCTTTTGCTAAGGGTGGTGGAAAGAGTGCAGGAAGGCAGGTGAGGGAGAGCCAAAGATAAACCATGATTGTTTATATTTTATTTAATTTTTTTTTGAGACAGAGTCTCACTCCGTTGCCCAGGCTAAAGTGCCGTGGCATCTGCCTAGCTCACAGGAACCTCAAACTCCTGGGCTCAACCAATCATTCTACCTCAGCCTCCTGAGTAGCTGGGACTACAGGCATGCGCCACCATGCCAGGTTAATTATATATATATATATATATATATATATACACACACACATACACACACACACACACACACACACACATTTTTTTTTCCTCTGGACACAGAGTCTCACTCTGTTGACTGGGCTAGAGTGCTATGGCATCAGCCTAGCTCACAGCAACCTCAAACTCCTGGGCTCAAGCGATCCTCCTGCCTCAGCCTCCCAAGTAGCTGGGACTACAGGCATGTGCCACCATACCTGGCTGATTTTTTTCTATTTTTAGTTGTTTGCTAATTTCTTTCTTATAGTAGATGACAGGGTCTTGCTCAAGTCAGGCTGGTCTCAAACTCTGAGTCAAGCAATCCTCCTGCCTGGGCCTCCCAAAGTGGTAGGATTAGAGGCGTGAGCCACCACGCCTGGCTCATGATTGTTTATATTTCTTACCTAGGAAGGGGGCAGAACATTTTCCTCCTCCTCCTTCCTCCTGCATTGTATGAACTCTTGCTCTTGGATTGAGAACACAGGCTGATGTGATCGAAGTTGAAATTCATGAGTTAAATAGAGTTCGGTCACCAAGTTGGAAAGTATTCCCACCACTGGGTGAGTTGTTTTATGGTTCCACACTATTGACTTAGGCATTAATGCCTATAGATTGACTAGAACTAGTCAATGAAATAGTGGTGATGCTCAATTTAAGTGAAATCTTTCAGGACCAAATGATAATCTCTTTCTCTTTTTTTCCCCTCAGGAAAATGGCAGAGAATTTTTCGGTAAGTGTTTTATGTCTGTTTTCTTCCCCTCAGATAAATCACACATAGGTTGAGGGGTTGGGGGTCTTGTTTTTACCACAGCTTTCCCTTTCCCACTGCATAGCTTCCTTTGGCTTCACTTGTCGAATGAGAACTTGTTAGCTGGAGCCTTGTGTTTCCAGCAGCAGATTTGGGAAGCCAGGCTGAGAGAGGCCTAGGACTTCAGCTGTATCTACTGACTGCAAAAGATAAAGAAAAAAAAAAAAAGTAATGAACATTAAAAAAAAAGAGAGAGAGAGAGAGAGAGGCCTAGGACTTCCTGACAGTAACCCTTTCAGCAAAAGGCCCAGAACAGAAGAGAGTGGACTCTGCTGGCAGGAGCTAAGAAATCCTGTGAGCAGCAGGAAGGGACATGCAATGTGAGCGTCCCAATGTTTGTGATTGTTTTTCCCATGTTGAGTAGAAAGTATGTGCTGAAGGTAGAGGAGAGGTAGCTCCTGACTTGAGCAAGTTAGAAAATTGCATCCCCCCAATCTGAGATAATGGGAGGCAAGAATAAAGTGAAAAAGCATATGTAATCCCAAAGTCTAACTTTAACCTTTGAAACTCAAAACTATTAGTAGGTGGAATAAAGCTTACTGATATGAATTTCATGCCTTTATCATATTCCTCTCCTTCTTAGAACATATATTTCCATTTTTCTAAAAATTCTGTTTTTGTGAATGCTTTCTGTCTTGTAATTGCTATGTCTTTAGTTTCAGCTTAATGATGCGTTGTTATCTGGGTCTGCAAAGCCAAATCCTCAAGGATGGCCTGGCTTGTGGGGGATCCCACCTCCTGGGGTAGGGGGCTACCCAGGTGCCTCGTATCCTGGGACCTTCCATGGGCAGGCACCCCCAGGGGCTTATCCTGGGCAGGGGCCTCCTAGTGCCTACCCTGGCCCTACAGCACCTGGAGCTTATCCTGTACCACCTGCACCTGGAAGCTACCCAGGGCAACCAGGCGGGCCTGGGGCCTACCCACCTCCTGTACAGCCCAGTGCTCCAGGAGCCTACCCTGCTGCCGGCCCCTATGGCAGCCCTGCTGGACCACCGGTAAGATGGAATCCTTTCATGTTCTTGGTGCACAGAGGGCTTCAGGGAGACACATAGCTTTAAAGAAGCCACTTAGAGCCACTTCAAGGACCAGCCATGAGTGTATGTTGGCCCAATAGAAAAAAAATAAGTGTTCATATTGAGTTTATTGTGTGTGTTGTTAGTATAGAGAGAAAGTAATGTATCTTTTGAAGGCATTGATAAAGCTGCCTTAATATAAATGAAGTTAAGATTGTAGTAATGGGGGAAAGTTTTGGTTATTCTTAACAAACACTTTTCTGGGTACATAACATGTGCCGGCAGTATGCCTCTACCTGGATTATCTCATTTAACCCCACTACCGCTCCATAAGATAGTGTTACTATTCTCCTTTTCCACCCGAGGAAATGGGGCAATGGAGAAGTTAGATGACTTGCTTAGGGTCATTGAGTGAACATTTGGAGGAACCAAAGTAATCTGGTTTTCAGAAACCTTCTAAAGATAATTTCTGGCCTAAGGAGTGAATTTTCATGCAAATTAAAACCCATTTGAGTAAGCGAATTCTAAATGTAAAACAAAACTCTGTGGAGGATCCAGACACATCTCAGTCCCAGATCCTTCCCTTTCAGATTTTTTTTTTTTTTTGAGAGAGAGTCTCATTTTGTTGCCCAGGCTAGAGTGAGTGCCGTGGTGTTGGCCTAGCTCACAGCAACCTCAATCTCCTGGGCTCAAGCAATCCCAGCCTACCTAGTAGCTGGGACTACAGGCATGTGCCACCATGCCTGGCTAATTTTTCGATATATATTAGTTGGCCAGTTAATTTCTTTCTACTTATAGTAGAGACGAGGTCTCACTCTTGCTCAGGGAGGTTTCGAACTCCTGACCTCGAGCAATCCTCCCGCCTCAGCCTCCCAGAGTGCTAGGATTACAGGCGTGAGCCACCGGGCCTGGCCCCCTTTCAGATTTATAGAGTAGTTGGGTGTTGGGAATAGGGTGAAGAGACATGGAAAGTTTCAGGAGTTTTGCAGGGCTTTTGTCTTGAAGGAATCTGTGGGCGTATTAGTTCACTGAGCAGAGGGAGCTTAGCGACAAGGGAGACATTGCACCCATCAGGAGAGACTGCAAAGCTGCAGGGATCTCAAGGCCTTGCCTGTGCCTGCAGCTTATGCAGGGCAAAGCTCAGCATGGGGCCAAAGGTTAAGAGACCAGTCAAAGGATGTCAGCTTAGCAGACACCTGCAGCTGCAGCCATCTTTAGCCTCAAGGCTGTTCCTGTTTCACTGCTGATCCCATGTCTCAGTGAATGAGGGACTAGATAAAGAAATATGTGGTCTCTATGTTTCTGTTTTACTCTTTACTGCTAATTAACATTTTTATCATTAACTTACATACTCAGCCAGGTCTATTCCTAGCTTACGGCTTAATGAGTTTATCTTGGAAAAGTTTTGTAACCGTTTGCTCACGTAGATAGCATTAATTAAGGCATCTCTTGTAACCTTTGGGGAGCCTTGAAACCTAAACAAATAATCTGTTTACATATATATGTAACCATTAACAACTAATTGCTGTACTAGTACATACTGTTGTATGAATTCACTCAGTGCCTCCTAGCTCACAGGAATGCTGTATGACCCCTGACTTCCCCATCACTTTAAACTACACTTTGTCTCTGTCTCTATTATTTGCAACTCTCTTATGACGATCTTGCCGGGACCTGTTTTGTTGGGAGAGTAGGTAACTTCTGGCAACTGGCGCAGGGAGCAGGCTCCTATAGGCGGAAGCTTTGACCAGAGTGAAGGAGATTCCCGTACAGCGCCACAGAGACCTGGAGAGGACTACAAGCCACAGTCTCAAGGAAGAGTGAGTTCATCTCCGGGGATTTCCCTCAGTCTGGGAAACAAATGGGGCAGAATCAGTCCAAGTTTACTAAGTACACTGAATCATTGTAGGGTCCGTTACAGACTTCTGGGGTGGTTGCCAAGCAGAAAACTTTTGTGGAATTATTTCATTTAGTTTCCAAACACTGCTATGGATTTCCCCCTCCCAGTACACTTAAGCTGCAGCAGTGTCAGCAGGCCATCTGAACTCTGCGGCACGCGCACCAGAGAGGCGAGAGGGTCCCTCTTTCTGTGTGACAACTTTTCTCCTTAATTACTGAGGCTGTGCAACTATCTCTATCAGACTTGGACTCTGATAGTGAGACGCCTCACTCCTGTCATAAAGACAGTGCCAGATCCAGAGCCTGGCTTTCGTACGGAAGAGATTATTTACGATCTTTCATAGGAATCAGGCAAGAATGAGAAAAAGCTGCTAAATTTGGCTACTGGTCCTAAATATAGATCCATAGAATAAAGGAGAGGAAAAATTCTGAAGATGAATTTCCGTCTCCCCCTCCCTTTGCTCCTTGTGAGACTAAAAAAAGGATGGAACATCAGATAAAGACTCCTCTTGCCCAAGCTCTCACCCTCACCACTGCTGCTTTTTTATGCTGACTTTTCCTAGAAACATAATCCTCCCCTAAAAAGGCTTTAAAGAAGGCTCCTAAAAAACAAGAGCTCAAAGCAGCATTTAGGGAGGTATAAGAGAAGCACAGTTAAAGGGAGATCTGGAAGCTCATCTTTTCCTGGTTGCTGTAATACAGCCAGATTCAGATTCTGAAGATTAACGTGGGCAGCGTGGGTATCTCGAATCCCCGGCTATGTTCATGATCATATCCCATTTAAAACTCTCAAATAACTGAAGCAAGCCTGTGACTCATATGGTATCAATTCTCTTTATATCAAGGGTTTGCTTGAGGGATGGGCTCAGGGGAACCATCAGTTCCTTTGGATTGGGGAATGCTCACTCATCAGTTTTGTCTCCATCTGAATTTCTTTAGTTCACCACCTTGGTGGGCTAATGAAACTCATCAGCAAGTGTGGCTTAACCAATACGAAAATCTGCCATCTGCCAAGGAGTATTTCAGCAGCACAGATTACGGGACAAGGAAAATGATTTGGCATGAGCACTCAATTAAAATATGATGCTCAGGCTATTGCTCAAGTCTGATAATGCTGTCTTAGAACATGGGAGAAGATAACCCTGCCTGGACAACCTGCCTTCTTGTGTAAATGTTAAACAAACTTCTAATGGACCTTATGTGTATTTTATTACTAGATTGCAGGATGTTGTGCAAAAATCAAGGCCTGATTGGCCTCCTGATTTAGGAAATATGTTGTTATATATATGCTGGTTTTGATAACGATAATTCTGAGTGTCAGCAGTTCTTGCGCCCTTTAAAGTCTAGTAACGCTTTTTTAGAGGAATATATAAAAGCCTATTGGGACATCAGGTCACAGACACCTATAAAATGCAACTATTGTCTGAGGCTATCTGGGGAAAAGGCCCAGGAGGACAAAAAAATAACCTCCAAATCTTTTAATTGTGGCCAGAAAGGTCCTTTGAAAAAATATTGTAAATAACTCCTGAGAGCAACTGATAATTATCAGCTGGTCCTGCTCCAGGGCTTTGCCTTCACTATGATAAGGATATCATTAGCTTAGTGAATGCTGTTCTAAATTTCATGCTGATGGCCACCCCATTATGGACCTGGGAAACGGGACGGGACGGGACGGGGCCCTGCTCGGGTCCCCAAGAAAAATAATACGGGAAAACAGTCTTGTCCATCAGTTCCCGACTTGGCAGCTGCAGACTCAAGAAAACAATGCGGTGTTGGACAGCCCTGGCTAGCAGGCTGTGGAACAGTTTCAAACCTGGACTTCCCCAAATTAAAGCTCACTCACTTGTCACCTGCCAGGAACAGGAGTGTGGCATTAGATCTGCTATACTGTGATAATGGTCTTCTGATGCCATCTGCTGGCATATGTAAAGTACCTACCTACAGGTGTATTTGGTCTAATTCCTTCAGCCACAGTGGGACTAATCTGTCCCGGCCCGAGGGACCTTCTGTTACTCTCGGGGGCGAGGGGGACCGTGCCTGAAAGAGATGAGCGAGAGAAAGAAACGGGCCCCCTGGGGACAAACTGTTGCCTTGTGTAAATGTTAAACTGTTAATGAACCTTATGGTCGATTTTTTACTATATGCAAGATGTGCAATAATGGTCAGTCCTCTTGATTTTAGGAAATATGTTGTTAATATGTTGGCTTTTTTGATACGCTAATTCTGAGTTTCAGTGGCTTTTTGCCGCCCTTTAAAATCCACCAGCGCTCCTTTAGAGGAATATTATAAAAGTCTGTTGGGATGTTGGATCAGAAATTATAAAATGCAACTATTGCCTGAGGGTATCTGGGGGAAAAGACCCCGGAGAACAAAAAACCCAGGCCTA